ATTCAACAAAAATTTGAAGCTGGTGCATCTGAAAACTCCTTTCTAACACTACATCCTCTAATATTGAAAGCCGACCTGTCGATTATAATTGATAGTCATTTTCTAAGTCTCGATATAATGTGATCTTCATGGCCGAGAACTATATCTATAATTTACTAGTTTGATCAAAAAGTTTTCGGAATGACTTATCAATGAGTTATAAAAATGCGTTATATTTTTTTTTCAAATCTTAAATTCGTTAGTAGCCAAGGCCATAAATAATTAAATTAAAAACTATACCCATTTTTTTTTCAAAATTCATATTTGGCTGGAATTTGATTCGTATGCAAAATGGAGAAACTCGAACTGGTGCGCTGAATTTAAATAGCTAATAATGGCCGCTACTCAAGAAAAGTTTAAAAAAATGTAAGAAATTGTTAAGGTGTGACTATCCGTTATTTAGCTGAGATTCTAAAGTAGAAAACTTATTTTCTCAAATAAATGAGAAAATGCAGTTTATTTAACTTCATACCTTAAAATTTAAAAAGGTGGCCGCGCGCTGGCCTCCACAAATGTAAACAGACATCGAAAAGAAAGCAAGAGTTGACATTTCAAAGTTAAATTTAGCAATAATTGAAGAAGATCCAGATTCTTTTTGAGCTCGTTTCGTAATCGTAGATGAAACATGACTCGGAGACGAAAAACCAAAGCAAGATATGGAAATGACCATCTTTCCCGCCAGCCAAGATATACAAGGTGTCTGTGTCCGATGGAAAACTAATCTTTTTTTCTTTTAGGTTAAGGAATGCAATAAAGAATAAATAAATAAATAAATAAAAATCTTTTGTATAATAATAATAGACTATTTAAGTAAAGGAGAGACAATAACCGGAGATTATTAAGCATTAATAATGCGAAGAACTAAAGAATAAACGTTGAGGAAAGATGTGTGCTAGAGTGCTTTTTCATGATGATAATGAACCTGCCCATCGATCTGATGTTGCAGGCGCGGTACGACTTTCCATTGACGTCAGTGGAGCTTGGTATTGATACGTATTTTTACAGAAAGATTACACTATTATAAGCACACACACAAAGTCTCAATATACGGAAACGCGTAATTTTTGAGAAAAGAATAATTGAAAATTAATTATTCTTGCAATATTTATGTCTAATCTGCTAATAAACTGGCGCCATTTTGTAATGTCATTGTCGACGTCAATAGGGATGTCGATTCTTTCCGAAAAAGATTGATTTTTTAAATAGATTCGAATTGTAAGCTGATGTATCGATTCCCAAAAAATCGATTTCTAAAATGTCGATATTTTTTTCATGTTTGCATTTATAATGTAAATATAAATCCATTTTATGAGAAAAAATCCCCTTCATCATAAAAAAATAAGGGGACTGATTCATAAGGATTTCTGTATCTATTTTGAGACTGCTACGTCTCCGGAGCTGCGGGAAGAGCAACCTCTACGCCTTAGCGTAAGAAATCGCAGGCATTGGACGAGCCGAAGCGGAGGCGAGGATTTGTTACAGCAGGCCGAGGCTGCTCCCCCTACGCGCCTCCGGCTCTATAAAACCACTCTAGGGGTAGGACAGACTCGTACCAGGTGGAGTCGGGGTCAATCAATTCGGTTCTTTGACATAAGTTGAACCTAACCTATTTTATTTGTTATCTGCCCTAATAGGTACTGTTAAATAAAACAAATTTCAATAAGAGATCATTTATCATGGTATCTTTCTTGTTTTTCATAAAATGGGTTTATATTTACATTATAAATAGAAACATTAAAAAAATATAGATATTTTAGAAATCGATTTTTTGTGAACCGATACATCAGCTTACGATTTGAATCGATTTAAGAATCGACCTTTTGCGGAAAGAATCGACATCCCTATTGACGTCGACAATGACATTACAAAATGGCGCCAGTTTATTAGCAGATTAGACATAAACATTTCAAGAATAATTGATTTTCAATTATTCTTTTCTCAAAAATTACGCGTTTCCGTATATTGAGACTTTGTGTGTGTGCTTATAATAGTGTAATCTTTCTGTAAAAATACGTATCAACACCAAACTCCACTGACGTCAATGGAAAGCTAAGCCAATTTAATTTTTAGATGAAAAATCTATCTCATATGGTGTCGATTGCTCATAGTATTGTTCAGGTCATGCAGCAGACACAGCAGCAAAATAACTTTAGTATAGAGCATTGTGGATTCTTCATTGATAAAACCTATACTTTTATTGGAGTTACGCCTGACGGACTAATTTATGATATCATGCTAGTAGAGGTGAAGTATCCTATTACAGAATCCAAAAAAGGCCTAATGAAATCATTTGAGTCAAATATAATAAAAATATTAAAATATGATAAAAATCTGACACCATAATAATTAACAAAAAAAGTGATTTTTACTACCGAATTCGGGAGAATGAAAATGAACCTATTTAATACGTATTGAACGCATTTGAAAAGATGACAATTTTTGGAAGATGTAAATGGAACGAATAATTATATAATTTTATTTAGAATGTTTAGTTTCCAGAAATACTAAACCCTAGGCATTCACGCGGTATGCTGATTAGACCTCTTTCATTACAAGGTAAAGAAAATGTGAAGTTTTCATCACTCTCGCAGCAAAAATCGAATTCTCAACCAACAACTCAACTGGAAGGGGGATGGTCTATGTTCAGCAATGGACTTCAATAGGCTGAAACGGTAAAAATCTACTTTGTTTCATTAATAAAATTAGTTGATTGTTAAAATTTCCATAAAGTGACATTATATGTACATTTTATGCAATAATAAAAGTAAACTACTAAATAATAAAATGTAAAACTGATGAAACAAAGAAATCCTACCAAGAAAAAAGTACCAATTCAATTATTATAAAATTCAATTCAATTGATCTACTGCAAATATTTATACTGTGGCGTGTATTTACCGCACGGAGTCTGCATAGAGTACCTATGGTTCGTACCACACATAGTGAATATACGTCGTGCGTCGCGCTAAATGGCGTGAGCTGGGAAAACGTTAGGCCCTGTCCGTATTGCGATGTTACACCGATTTTTTTTCTCGCAATTCTGTAACACATATAATCTTATAGGAGTAGCTGCACTGGCGGTAAAAACATCGCGCGGGAAAAATCTGTGATTTGATGCAAATTGAACGCGAAGCGGTGCGATTTATTTCCGCGCGAATATTTTGTCCAGTATAAAGTAAGTCTGGCTATGTCCGCACTGCGGGGTAAAATTCGCGCGTTTTGCGTCTCTCTCCAGCTAAAATTATTTTTGTCCAATTCGTATCTTGATAGGTAATAGCCGAACCAACAAGTCGTAGTAAATTATCGAATGATTTTATAGTCATTCTGTAATATCCGAAAAACTTTTACTGTATTTTCGCAGCCTTTGATGTTTTATGTAGAAAAATACTTTCATAGGTCTCAAGGCCGTAAATTAGTCAATCGGCGCCGCCGTAGTATCAGGTAAACTAAAAAAATCTGTTGTTGATTTTTAGACGTGCGTTTCAGCGGGGAGCTGCATCGAACTGACAAAATCGTACGAAATTTTATTCGCAGTGCGGACTAGGTGTAATTCCTATCACGGAATATAATACGCAAGAATAAACTTCGCGCGGTGCAATATGGACAGGGCCGTAGGCCCTGTGCGCACTGTGATTTTTCACCGCGCGATTTTTTTTTTCGCAATTCTGTAACACATAGAATCTTGTAGGAGTAGCCGCACTGGTAGTAAAAAAATCGCGCGGGAAGAAAGTTTGTGATTTGATGCAAATCGAACGCGAAGCGATGCGATTTATTTCCGCGCGAATATTTTGTGTAGTATAAAGTAAGTATGGCTATGTCCGCACTGCGGAATAAAATTCGCGCGTTTCGGGTCTCTCTCCCGATAAAATTATTTTTGTTCAATTCGTATCTTGATAGGTATCGTATGTAACAAGACGTAGTAAATTATCGAATGATTTTATAGTCATTCTGTAATATCCGAAAAACCTTTTACTGTATTTTCGCAGCCTTTGATGTTGTTTGTAGAAAAATACTTTCATAGGTCTCAAGGCCGTAAATTAGTCAATCGGCGCCGCCGTAGTATCAGGTAAACTAAAAAAATCTGTTGTTCATTTTTAAACGTGCGTTTTAGCGGGGAACTGCATCGAACTGACAAAAATCGTACGAAATTTTATTACTAGGTGTAATTCCTATCACGGAATATAATACGCCAGAATAAAAGTAGCGCCGTGAAATATCGCAGTGTGGAGAAGGCCTTATAAATTGCCTATAGGTTTGAAATAACCTCCCCTTAATGATTTCTTATATATACTCGAATTCTAGACATTGAATAGAACTAATTTTATCGCTTTTGATTTAACTGATTTTCCTTTTTTTTTATTCCAAATGTCAAACATCTCAGTTCCCATGTGACAATCACATGGGAACTGAGATGTTTGACGTCCTGATGTCATAGTTACCCTTGTCCACCTTCAGCTTTCCCGAAAATCGCGATACTAAATATAACGTAATATATATATATATATATATATATATATATATATATATATATATATATATACGTTTCTCACAGATTAGATTGCTTGCAGCATTGCCCCATCTGATCGTAAGTAAAGCTTGATTTTGAGAACATTTTTTTTCTTCCCTATGCTGATTTTCATCTTATTCTTTCCTAAAGCTAACAAATTCAGGGCTATGATGATTGACCAGTTTTCTCTGCGGATATCTGTAGTACATGTTTTATAAATTCCGGGCATTTCAATAGCCAACTCAGCAAGTTTAAGTCTCTTTAAATCAATAGTAGTTTGTAAGGATACTCACATTCGCAGCTAACGCACTGCTAAAAAGTTATATTAAATAATTAATTTAATTTTAAATAATTCATTTAAAATATTTTTTTATAATTAATTAAAGCATTTTTAATTAAGTAAATTATAATTAAAAGTTATTATATTTATTTGTACTGATAATATTTTTTTTTTGATAGGATAAGGGTGACAAACGAGCACACAGTCCACATGATGGCAAGTGGTTGCTGTGGCCCATAGACATCTACACCTATCTTCGATTACGAATGAAAATGTTGTTGTCACCCGTGAGGACTAAGATGGAATGCCTCGTTTCCAGTAAAAGGGTCTCCGGTTCTCTACACTCACCATATGAAACACAGCAACGTTAAGCTGCTATTTGACGCTGGTATTCTGTGAGAGCGTGGTCCTTCCACGGTCGAGCCGACCCATTCGTGCTACAACCATAATATAGCTGCAGCATGGCTCTACCACGTATTCAAATATTGGTCGTATTTTCCTCGAGAACGTATAGATTACGAGTACACTTTTTGTGTAGACTGTAGTTATGTTTTCTGTAGACACCTCAAATTTTTGAAATTATAAGCAGCCCGTCGAAAACACATCGTTTTGCTGTCAAATATGTTGCCTTTAAATTTTTGGAAATAGGCAAAATTTGCATGGTCAGGGGAATATTATGGCGGGTAAGCGGCTAGAACGAACACATTTTTCTTAATTAAAAAAGTCGGGCACATTTGTTGCAAGAGGCGCTACGTTGTAGTGGTGCTAGATTCTTTAGTCGCTTTTTACAACAACCCGAACTTTTTACAACAAGGCGACATTTCGTAGTCGAACAAGCCGGTTTCCAAAAGGGCTTTAGCACCATAGACCACATACATACCCTTCGGCAAATTGTACAGAAGTCCGAAGAGTACAATTTGCCACTATGTCTGGCGTATGTGGACTATGAGAAAGCCTTTGATTCCGTCGAAATTTGGGCGGTGCTGCAATCCCTTCAGCGGTGCCAAGTTGACTATCGGTATATCGAAGTGTTGAAGTGCTTGTACAGTAGGGCTACGATGGCTATCCGAGTACAGAACCAGAGTACGAAACCTATCCAATTGCAGAGAGGTGTAAGACAGGGTGACGTCATATCCCCGAAACTCTTCACCGCTGCATTGGAAGACGTTTTCAAGCTTCTGGACTGGAAAGGATACGGTATCAACATCAATGGCGAGTACATCACTCACCTTCGATTTGCCGACGATATAGTCCTTATGGCAGAATCGCTGGAGGACCTAAGCACTATGCTCAATGACCTCGATAGTGTTTCCCAACGGATAGGTCTTAAGATGAACATGGACAAAACAAAGATCATGTTCAATGTCCATGTCACACCTATGCCGGTAGTTGTTGGGAGCACTAAGCTCGAAGTTGTTGACGAGTATGTTTACCTGGGACAAATAGTCCGACTAGGTAAGTCCAACTTCGACCGAGAGGTCAATCGACGGATTCAACTCGGCTGGGCAGCGTTCGGGAAGCTACGACACATCTTCTCGTCAGACATACCTCAAAATCTGAAAACAAAATTGTACAACCAGTGCGTGTTGCCAGTGATGACTTATGGAACTGAGACGTGGTCCTTCACTGCTGGCCGTATGAGGAAGCTCAAGGTTGCTCAGCGAGCTATGGAGAGGGCTATGCTCGGAGTTTCTCTGCGTGATAAACTTAGGAATGAGGATATCCGCAGTAGAACCAGAGTAACCGACATAGCCCAACGGATTAGTAAGCTGAAGTGGCAGTGGGCCGGCCATATAGCTCGAAGAACCGACAATCGATGGGGAAGAAAGGTTCTCGAGTGGCAGCCTCGTACCGGTAGGCGAAGTGTAGGGCGTCCCCCCAGGAGATGGAGTGACGACCTGGTAAGACATGCAGGAAGTCGATGGATGCAGGTGGCTCAGGACCGTGCTTTGTGGCATTCTTTGGGGGAGGCCTATGTTCAGCAGTGGACTTGTGAAGGGCTGTAATGATGATGATGATGAATCAAAAAAAGGGATCATAAATATGTGCCATGTTTCACCGCCAGACTCTCACTCGTAAATGTTTTTTTTCTAGGCGGCGTCTAATTTCCATATTATTCCATATCGTTATCGATAGAATAGTAAGATGCTACTACCTACCTAGGATAGAAAACGACAATTTCATATTATTTCATAATAATATTATAAAATCTCACGCCTGTCACCCAAAGGAGTAGGCAGAAACTACGGACTGAAATTTGGCAAAGTCAACAGACAAATTTCTGTCGCTTCTTTCACATCTATATATCTACGTATATTATATGCTCGCTTGTAAATAGCATGTTCTCAATTTGGCTCACAATATGTCGCCAATTTGGTCGATAAACATCCGCCTAAGGCGACCCTTGCCGACTCGGCCACTCACTTCTCCGACATAAATTTGATTTGTCACTCTTTCTTCATTCATTCTTTCTACATGTCCAACTACCGAAGCATCTCTTTCCAAATCCAGATCAAAACTTCTTGCATAACCCTAACATACTTTTTAATAGCCTCATTTCTACTGCGTTAATTTTATCATTCTGCCAAACCCAACTTTCCCTATTATACTAGGGATTAACACAGCATTTTGTATTGCCATACGTACCTTACAATTTCATAAGTAATGACCTAACATAATATACATACAAATTAATGTAAATGTATTTTCATTAGTTTTATTTTTAAGCAGGAATAAATTTCCTAGGTGTCTGTTAGTGTTTGAAATAGCATTGATTTTATATGAATACAGAATAGTACGCAGTAATGTATGTACATTGAATATGAGGAAATACATTTAAAGCAATCTGGACACTGCATAAATAATGTGAAGCGAATTAGAACTGAGTAGGAGTCGTGAGCCCACAACAACTGCAATGTGCGAGTAATAGGTAAGCTACGCTGTGATTCACATCTACAGAAGTAAATCATGAATCTGTGTTATTTAAACTACTTTTTCTCATATTAAGTGGACAATTAAAATATTTTTGTTAGTAATAACTTCATTTTTATCGTTATTGTATGTTGTTATTAAAAAAAATGTTATCCTAAGCTTCTGCTATAATACCAGACATCAGAATCTCAAATAAATACATCTGTTCTAATGTGAAAAATCATAAATACTAAATTTAAAGATCATACATTTGGCTATAAATATTTATGGTAGTACCTAGTAGTATAAAAGATTTTAAGTATACACAGACCTCCTCACATTTCTGTTTTTGAAGCAGGGAAAAGTGCGGGGCCGCATCAATGCCTTTTTGGGGCATGACATGTCTTTGAAATTTTTTTTTTAAATTTTCATAATACAGGAATCCTTAATATTCTTTCCTTCACCGCTCATCATGTGGTAAATCAGAACTAGATATAAAAATAGCAATTAACTATTTTATTAGTGTCGTCGACAACTATAACCAGCTTTCTGTAGGTACTGTAAGGTTTTTTTGTTTGAATTCTACGTGGATGAAGTCACGGGTAAAAGCCAGTTAATTATAATGTCCATGTATTTTTAAATTAAATAAGTGAACTGAAGGATTGCCCCCCACTGGATGAAGTGATGACTAAGAGATGCACGAAGTCGATGAATGCAGCTCAGGGTCGTACTTTGTGGCATTCCTTGGGGAAGGCCATGTTCAGATGTGAACTTGTGATGGACTGAAATGATGATGTATGATCATGTTCTTATAATATGCCCATGTGAATTCAATCAGCGGGACTGGTCCTTTTTAATAGATTTTAATAATAATGACTGATTGGTGAAAAAGCTTAAATTTAATTATAGCTAAACAAAACATCAATGCAACGTGTGTGCTGTACTTAGCTATAGTTTATATTCTATGATTACAGTTTCGCGCCTCCGTGCGAGAAGATAAATATAGTCGCGAGTGTAGTATTCAAATGTGTGCGCACACGCGTGCGGCCGCGACGCAGTCAAGATCAAGGGCGCGCGATTGCGCAAGAGTTGGCTGTCGCAGCGCGCTGCAACGCGGTGTGATGTCATCGGGCCGTCTGCGTCCCCCCACTCCTTTATCATGCCCGTTTCTGAAAGGCCGCGAATGCGGAACGTTCTATATATAATTTTTGACCGCATCAATTTTAGTGGCCTTATTTACTAGTTCGTCTAGGATGTTAACATTTAAATATCAAATTTAATTTAGTTACGAATCATTAACGATTTTACATAGATTTAAAATGTACACGGCAACAGACTCGTCTCTAATCGCGTTTCTATACAAAGTCAATTGCGTAAATTTAAATTCATAATAGAGATCCCTACTTACTTTAAAAACCTGTGAATACTCCGAAGTCCTAACAGTACTGTGAGTACGCAAACTACACAAACTTACCTTGTCGTTGGGGACTCACCACTGTTGTGATCAATTTTAAACATATCGACGTAGCGGAGTTTAATTCTAACCGGAACTGACATTCTCAGTTTATTACCTTCATGGATCTGTTGTGTAAAATTTAAATTAAAACTATACCTACCTATTGTAACGAAGAAACTCCATTCATTATAAAACGACTTTTCATTACAGGTTAATTATTGCTCATGCTTATGTCAAATGTGAATAAAGATTTCTTCTGTTAAGAAAAAACATGAGCGCTGTGGATTTTGCTCAATGTAGTTATGACTAAAAGACCTTCACTTCATCGCATAATAGTAAGCTAGCATGCACTGTGTAATAAGGTAGTGGACATATCATACGAATGAGCAAAATCGATTCAATAATTGCCATTTTTGTCAGATTTATATGATATTTTATTTATTATTTTTAGATAAATTCAATGACATTTAATAAAGAATTTGATTGAAACGTTTTGGTATCGAATCTATGAAATACTCGTAAGTATCTATATTGAGTCTTAAATGAACAATAACATCTTTTATGATTTGTGGAAGTCATTATATTGTTATCCTTTGCAGGCCAGCATGAGTTATGGGTGGTAGAGCTACGACGCAGCTATATTATGGTTGTAGCACGAATATAAGGTCGACCGAGGAAAGACCACGCTCTCACAGAATAGCCGCTAAATACTGTTGTGATTTGCACGTTGAGTGTAGTAAACCCTTTTTTACAGGTAACAATGTATTCCATCTTAGTCCTCAGGAATAAGAACGCATCTAAATGTATATTTTTATTCGAGTATAGATGTATATGCCAATGGATCACAACATCGACTTACCATCTGATAGACTGTGTGCTCGATTGTCATCCTTATTCGATGAAAAAATGAGTACACGTTGGTTATATAGGTAGTAAGTGCAGCCAGTTTCACATAATTAACACTTCTTCACGTATTTTTATTTTAGAATCATAGTTGCAGCTCATCGCAAGTGCGCTGCTGAATATACGCCTCCCTTAAACACTACCACAAAGCACGCTGCTTACACAGCTCCCCTTACGCCGTCACAGTCTACAATCAACCGTATTTTTATTTTCATTCAAGGCGAAGTCGGCTTATCTTAACCTGTCTTATGTTAAATCTGATTGGAATTGCTCAAAATTGGTGCAAAATTTATAGACATCGTATTAATACAAATGTTATAATAGAAACGCAATTTTTTAAATATAGATATCATCAGGTATTTTTTGGTGTTGTAGGTAGTTTGATACTGTACTAATAAATTTTATAGCACTGTATGGAATTGGTCTTAGAATACACGCGCTGATCTGAGCGCGCTGCGTGGGGATCAAGGTCGTGCGAAATAACGCACACATAACGTTCATACGTTTGCAATATCTTTGAACAGTTGCCTGCTGATTGGTGTAACTACGTAACACGCCGGCTGGACATCCGGTCGCGCCCAAAATGGACATGCCGACATGGCAATGTTAATACGTCTACAAATAGTGTAACAAAGGTTGCTTTATGATATTATGCCAAAATAAGTCCAGTACAAATAAAAATCAAAACTGTTTTTGACCTAAAACTGGAAATTATGTTAGGTGGTCAAATTTTTAGAGCGGTGAAAACAACAGTTGCAGTTATTACCTATGTAATGGATATTACAGGTGATAACGCATCTGCATTTTAATTCCTAATCGACAGTATATTACGCGGGACACAACAGACCACATACAAATTGGTTAGAAGAAAAAAAACACATTGGTTATAAAATTCACTGCATTTTTTATCAAAATTAATGTTAATTTGTAGTTCAGCCTTGACGTGGTCAACAAACAGCTTATTTCTGCTGTCTGTCCATGCATTTCCACAGAGAGAAAACACTCTCTGCTGATGCATTTGAAAGTGGTATCGAAGCTACGGCTAAGGTGTAATTAGTAGGAGATAGATACTAATATCATATAATCACTGATTTCCGGGACAAAAGGCGTCCCGAAAGGGGTTACGGCGGGACGGAAGGAATTTACCAAGAAGCGGGATGTCCCGGAAAATCCGAGATGGTTGGCAAGCCTAGATGTGGGGTGGGTGTCTATGGATCACAGTAACCACTTACTATCAGGTGGACTGTTCGCTCATTTGTCTCCTATTTAACTTAGCCCTGTTACTGATGGCTCGGTAGCGGCTAAGCGTTTGGTTGCAGTGCTGCGGGATAGCGGCTTCGAATCCCGCAGAAAACAAGTATTTGTAGACCCGCAAATAATAATTGTTCCGGGTCTGGATCTGTCCGTGTGAAATTCATGTATGTGAACTCAAAGGAAAATCCCAGTACAGGAGTAATGTTAAAAAAAAACAATCAAGAAAATGTGTTTATGAAACAGTTATGTGTAAACAACTTCTAACTCCTTTGTTCAGTCAATATTTATCTTCACTATTAGCTCATTAAAGTACCCTGTTGGATATGAGGCTCTCCTGTTATAAGGACGAATATCGCGTGAGGTGGTGAAGTAAGAAAAAGAATATGCCAGCAGTAGTACACCATCTCGTATATACCAGCGGGTAGGATCACGCTTTCACAGAATACAAGCGTAAAATAGCAGCTTAATGCTGCTGTGTTTCGTATGGTGAGTGTAGAAACCGGAGACCCTTTTTACTGGATATGAGGCATTCCTTCTTAGTCCTCAAAGGTGGCAACGCATCTGTATTTTGATTCTTAATCGAGGATAGATGTAGTTGTCTATGGGCCACAGTATGCACTTACCATCAGGTGGACTGTGTGTTCGCTTGTCACCCTTAGTCTATAAAAAAATCTAACGACTCAGATATACGACGGACAGCAGCGTCAAAAGTGCGATACGTCTAATACTGTGATTGTCGACCAAGAGCGACAATTAAAGCAAAACCTTATAACGAGCAACGCTGAGCTAATATCAATATTTAATCATCTTTTTTACATAATCTGTGTAAGTAATATTGTAATTATATTTTAAGAAATGTACTAAATTGCTATTGGCAAGTAATGATACAGCTGCATTCATTACAAAATATTCATTAATTTAAAGTGAGAAACAAAGTAATTTGCGATGTTTTGCATGCAGTAGTAACATAGTATGAACTGTATAAACTATTACTATTATGCTTTCTCCCAACACCAATATTACCCTAAAAACTAAAGACAATTATTAACCTAAGAGATGATAACGCACATATTTCACCTCTTTTTAATGTTTATACGTTGTAGAGCTATGCTGCAGCTGTATTGTGTTTGTAACTGGGACGGCTCGACCGGGAAAGGACCGCGCTCTCACAGAAAGCCAGCGTAAAATAGTAGCTTAATACTGCTGTGTTTCCTATGGTGAGTGTAGAGAACCGGAAACCTTTTTACTGAAAACGCGGCGTTCTGTTTTATTTCTCCGCGGTAACCTCGCATCTGCGTTATTATTCTTAGTCAAGAATATATGTAAAAGTCTACGGGATCCTGCATCCGCTGATGTGCTCGTTTGTCATCCTTATTCTCTTATTCTACAAAACTGGCCAAGTGCGTGTCGGACCACGCACAATGTAGAGGTAGGGTAGGGTTGATGTCAAAAGCAAGCAAACATGGCTGACCCGAAATAACTAGAGAAATAAAGTTAAAGACAGCCTTTAAACCTCATGCAGTTGTGTACGGTGGCCTTCTCATATTGATTAAATAGGTTACAGCGCACCGCGGCTTCAATGTGGACTAGAGGACTTCACACGATCTCTTTTGAATATAAAACTGGTATAAAAAATCAGTTTTTAAGTCTTTTGCTGTCTACCTGCTATATACATTTCACTACAATAATTCTGTCGTGTTTATGAGCTACACTTTCGTTTTAGACATATATGTATTTTCAGATTCTTTTCCCAAAAATACGATCCTATACCTCTAGTCACGATCTCCTATACCTCTCTGTCATATAATAACAATAATATGTTATTTGCATAAAACATGGTGTATAAAAGATACATGGTATATATAAGGTAAGTATATAGAGATAAAATATAAAATTAGCACAATTTATTCAAAAATTAAATTATTATACGTTTTTATACGTGGTAAGCCATGCTGCAGCTATATTAGTAGTATAGTTGTAGCACGAATGGGTCGGCTCGACCGGGGAAGGACCACGTTCTCACAGAATACCAGCGTAAAATAGCACCTCAACACTGCCGTGTTGTGAGTGTAGAGAACCGGAGACCCCTTTACTGGACAAGAGGAATTCCATCTTAGTCCTCACCGGTGATAACGCATCTGCATTTTGATTCTTTATTGAGGATAGATGTAGAGATGTCTATGGGCCACAGCAACCACTTACCATCACGTGGACTGCGTGCTCGTTTGTCAGCCTATCCTATAAAAAAATTAAGTAATAGGAAGCTTTGATCCTCCAAGAAATATTGGGAACAGTTATGGCAATTTATGGAAGAACTGAAGTAAAATAACCGCCTATAAAGGTCAGAAAGCTGTGGGTTGGCCTTCCCTCTTTTCTCAGAGGAATTAGCATGGATGGAAGGGAAAGATTTTAAAATTCTTTAAAAAATAGGTTAATCGAGATAAGCTAGCATGAATTTATACCGAGCTTACACGGTAAATAAAATTTACTATATATTAAAATTATACAAGCACTATAATATTATGTACACTCAATGTAAGTACACATTCAATTCGC